GATCATGAGATACCGCTAAAATCTGATGCTCAACCCTTCAAGCTGAAACCGTACAGATATCCTCATTCTCAAAAGGGGGAAATTGAACAACAGGTTAAGGATATGTTGCAGCATGGAATCATAGTGCACAGTAACAGTCCTTTCGCCTCCCCAGTTTTGCTTGTCAAAAAGAAGGAAGGGACTTGGCGTTTTTGTGTAGACTACAGGAGACTGAACGAGATGACCATCAAGGACAGTTACCCCATACCCAATGTAGACGAACTGATCGACAAGCTAGCAGGATCCAAATACAAATCAAAGTTGGACCTCACTTCAGGCTACCACCAAATCAGGGTCAAGCCTAAGGATACATACAAAACTGCATTTCAAACATACTGTGGCCACTATGAGTTCTTGGTAATGCCTTTTGGATTAACAAATGCCCCAGCCACATTTCAGTCCCTCATGAATCAGATATTCCAGCCTTATCTGAGAAAATTTGTTCTAGTTTTTTTTGATGATATCTTAATCTATAGTCCGACATTAGAGCTACACCAGCAACATCTGAGAACAGTCTTGACAGTATTGAGGGAACATAAGTTGTTTGCAAAACGCTCCAAGTGCTCGTTTGCACAGTCAACAGTGGACTACCTTGGTCACACTATAACAGAAGAAGGGGTGAAAATGGACAGTTCCAAGATAGATAGTATTCTGAAATGGCCAAGTCCAAGGACAGTGAAGGAGTTGAGGGGATTCTTGGGGTTAACAGGGTACTACAGAAGGTTTATTAAGCATTATGGCATTATTTGCAAACCCCTTACTGAGTTACTAAGGAAGGATAGTTTCACCTGGAACCCACAGACTCAAGAGGCATTCCTTGCACTGAAAAACATAATGTGCACTGCACCTGTTCTGAGGCTACCAGACTTCCAAAAACCTTTCACCATTGAGACTGACGCCAGTGGAGGGGGAATTGGGGCAGTGTTGATGCAAGAAGGACATCCCATAGCTTTCCTTAGCAAAGCTTTGTCTCCTAAAAATCTGGGTCTATCAGCCTATGAAAAGGAGCTGTTGGCCGTAGTAATGGCAGTAACTAAATGGAGGCATTATCTGGTAGGGTACCACTTTGTAATCAAGACTGACCATCAATCACTAAAGTATCTATTAGACCAGAAACTTACCACGGCATTACAGCACAAGTGGTTCACCAAGTTGTTAGGTCTGGACTATGAAATTCAATACAAAAAAGGAGTGGAAAATAAAGTGGCAGATGCCTTGTCCAGAATGCACGAAGGTGGACAGCCTCACCTCACGGCTACAGGATCATGTCTAGCTTTGTCAATAGCTAAACCAAACTGGATACAGGAACTTCAGGAGAGTTACTCCTCAGATGCTCACTGCAAGGATATCATCTCTCAGTTGCTCCTAGATCCTAACTCGCAGCCAAGGTATGATTGGAACAATGATTTACTGAAGTACAATGGTAAAATCTATGTGGGGTCAACCACTGGTCTGAGGGCCAAAATTATACAGGCATTACACTCTTCTGCTGTTGGAGGCCACTCAGGTCAGAGGGGATGTTGGCAGAGGATTAAATCCCTCTTCTACTGGCCAACAATGAAGCAAGAGATCATTCAGTTCATACAGGCATGTGATGTTTGTCAAAGGTACAAATCTGAGCACGTACACTCGCCTGGCCTGCTACAACCATTGCCTGTTCCTCGGTTGGCATGGTCACATGTGACAATGGATTTCATCGAGAGTTTGCCAAGCTCCCAGGGTTGTGATACTATATTGGTGGTTATTGACAGGTTGACCAAAGTGGGACACTTCATAGCACTGGCTCATCCATTCTCTGCCAAGCAAGTGGCTCAACTCTTCTTAGATAACATTTTCAGGCTGCACGGGCTACCAGAATCTATTGTCACTGATAGAGACAGAATCTTCACCAGCAAGTTTTGGCAAGAATTGTTCAAATTGGTAGGAACTGACCTGCACTATAGCTCAGCTTACCACCCCCAATCAGACGGGCAGAGTGAAATGTTGAACCAATGTGTTGAGTCGTATCTAAGGTGTATGACTGGAGAATTTCCAACTCAGTGGCGTAGATGGCTGGCAATGGCAGAATGGTGGTACAATTCGTCTTACCACTCCAGTTTGCAGTTAACTCCCTTTGAGGCCTTATATGGCTATAAGCCTGTTCCATTACCACTTGGTCCCTACTTGGACGCTATTATACCTGCAGCAGCTCAACTCCTTCAGGAGAGGGTGAGGATTTCTAGTAGCCTCAGAGATCACTTGGCCAAGACGCAGCAAAGGATGAAGTTTTTTGCTGATCAGCAGCGCACTGAACGTTCTTTTGAGGTGGGGGAATGGGTTTTTCTCAAACTTCAGCCCTACAGACAGCAAACAGTGGCTATCAGGAAATGTCTTAAACTTGCTGCCAGGTTCTATGGACCCTTTCAGGTTGAAGCTAGGGTGGGAACGGTAGCATACCGCCTTAGGTTACCTGCAAGAGCAAAAATTCACCCTGTTTTCCATGTATCGCTGTTGAAGAAAAAAATTGGACCAGTGCAAGAAGTGTCTGAAGAGTTGCCAGAGTTTGATAATGCAGATCAGTGTCCTTTACTGCCAGAGTCTGTGTTGCAAAGGAGAGCTATTATGCGCAATGGTCAACCAGTGGTCCAGCTATTAATCAAATGGTGTCAACTGGGAACTGAAGAAGCGTCATGGGAAGACAAGGAATTCATACACTCTCAATTTCCTCATTTCCAGTCTTGAAGACAAGACTTTTCTTTGTGCAGGAGGTAATGTCAGGACAGAAGAAATAAGCTAAAATTAGGATACATTGTAACGGTGACGTTTGGGGAATAATTGTAGTGCAGCGATGACGTTTTGTGAAATGATAGGAATTAAAGGGGATAAGTGGAACGGTGTCGTAGGGAAGGCTGAGTTAGTTAGGGGAGTCACGTGGATTGTAACAGAAATTGGGTAGCAGTAGTTAATTCATCCTATTTGTACACAATTGATTGGCGGAGGAACTATCAGAGAATAACAATTGCATTTTCCCTCTTTTCTACTTTCTCTCTCTATTTCTCTTACTCTCTGCAACTCCTCTCAGTCTTCTCTCACGAAGCTCCTCTGAGCTTTTCTCCCTTCTCCAATTTAGGGTTATGGTCGTAGGAGCCTGACACATTTTGGAACATGGCAAGGACCTACTACCTAATTTCCTAGGAATTTGAACAGTAACTCATCATTCATTCATGGTTTACAAATTTCTCCACGAGACAATTATTACCCCTAGAGTTTAGTCGAAGTGATCTCCTCAATAATGCAAGTACATCGCTTGTTTTCGTGATCTGTTCATGACTGTTACCGTGTGTGGAAGTTCAATGCACAGTCTTTGGCTAAAACTCTGGCAATGCAATGCATATTTCGTGCTTCACAAATCACAAAGAAACAAGAGCACAATAATAAGAATAACATAATGAATTTCTAAAGCATGGCTGCTTGTTATGAATTTTTGGAAAATTGAATGCTACTAGTTAATATGGTGATAAATTGTTGTCTATCTTGAAACATTAGATAAGATAGTTCTTTTAGGATATGACAGAAATATAGTGTGGCTTTTGGTGGGGATTATATCCACTTGGGCTAGAATGATTTTGTAAATTGGAATTTGGTAATTTTGTGTAGTATCTTTTCCTTTTGGCCAGATGAAGATGATAAAGCATTATTTATGTCACAAGATTACTTCTAAGTAATTATTGACATGTTACATTTTATGTTAAATGATAACTTGTAATTAGATAACAAAATTATTGATAAAGTTTATGCATTTTCTTGTGATGGCTTACAGCAGGTTTATCTTCAATTGTCCATGTTTTAACTTTATACAGATTAGGTTAAAATTGAAATTTTTTTATATTCCATTCTAAAACAACTAATGAATTAAATATCAACTATGATAATAATACACATTCCTGATACTGAACCAAACAGATATATTATAATTATAATGAATGACTCCATTCCAAACTCTGATGAATGATCTCAAATTCGAATCCGATTCTAAAGTGCAAACCGAACCAAACGCTTTCTGATAATTGGATTGCCAATCCCTTTCTGTCAAGACTGTATCGAGTGAGGATTAGGAGATATGAGCCTTCTTTCTGGGAGTTTGCTTTGGATGTAGGAAGCTGGAACTCTTTCATTTTTTTTTTTGCCCTGAAAACCGGAAGGAAGGAAGGAAAATGCGTTACCGTCAAAATCAGCCGTACACAAAGTTTGTAAAATCGGGATCCTACGTAGGATCGATTTTAGTTTCACAGGATCGGATCGTAGGATCGGATCGTAGAATCGTAAGATCCTACCAAAAGCTCTTAATTGCAATTAAAGGTTGCAATTCTTTGATAAATTACAAATATACCACAAATATTTTCATTTATTTGCAAAATAGAGTTTTGTATTTCACAAATTTACAAAAAAATTGTAGGATCGTACGATCCTACGATCCTACCGATCCTGCTACGATTCTATGCGATCCTACAAAGATTAATATGATTTGCGACTCTGCATACGATCCGAATCGATTTTGATTATTCGGATCGTAGGATCGTACGATCCTACGATCCGAATCGCGATTTTGACAACTATGGCCGTACATAGCAACCAATACGAGGTAAGTAGGAAAATCAGCGAAGCAAAGAGTACTACATGGTGAGCGCTGTTTCGCGTTAGGACCACGTTCACAGCATCTGGGGGGACCATATTGATGTTTCCTCGTAATAATTGTACTAGTGACTGTAATGTCAGACAAAAGTTAGAGAGCAGACATAATTTTGGTGACTTCCTAGCAGTGAAGAGATGGACATTTCTTCCTATTTCCTCCCCCCTTTTCTTCATCTTTTTTCTTGCAAAAACATGATCAGATCTCTTCAGTTTTAGTTCCCTGAGGGATTTGGATGGGCAAAACTCTCAAGAAAAACCCTATAAATCCCTTTCGTCTTCTGAAAATAATCATGACATCCATAACCTCGGCATGCTTGTCCTGGATTCCAGCCTTGTGGAACAAATTAGCAGTACTAGGACTAGGAGAGATCCTAGGAAGGCCGTACAGACATATTCCCGACGAAGTCCTCCTGCAAATTCTCAGCAAACTCCCGGCTAAATCTGTCCTAAGATGTCGATGCGTCTGTCGGAGATGGAAGGCCTTGACCTCCACTCAGGAATTTGCGCAGTTGCATTTCCCCCACAGCGTTCCAATGGTTATTGTTGTCCGGCAGAGGGAAGCTGAAGGGGAGCAGAAGGAAATATATTTGGTCGACACATGTGAATCCACAGAAGAAACAGCAACCCCGCAGAGCAATCGTTGTAGAATCAGCGTTAACTTTGTCAGGCCGGTTTCCAAATCCGATCGCCAAGAATTCTCGTATTCTTCCAATGGCTTGGTCATTTTCCGGGAGGAGTTCCGGAGATCAACCGCCGGGTTGGAGCACTACGTCCTCCTGAATCCCCTTACGCGGCAGAAGGTGAGATTAATCACCCCTAAAGGTCTGATTTACGGAATCTTTTCCAACCCTTTTGCCAAAGATCAGCACTGTTTGCTCTGGGGAGGAAGATTCCAACGTGAAAACGGGAGCATGCCGTTCAGAATAGTTGTTTTGGGTGGCGGGTCGAACTCGGAATCAGAACAATCCGATGAATCGCAAACATCTTGCTGCTGGAGAGAGCTGTACGAGGATGATGATGCTCCGTTTTCATACCAACCCAGGGCTCAAACTCCTCCGGTAATCGTAGACAACGTTCTTTACTGGATGGTTGGAAATCGATATGCAATTGCAAGGCAGAGTTCGCCCTCGCCTCTTCCGAGGACTAGGTTGGCTCCTCGTTGTGCAGAATCAATCATGAAATTGGACACGAAAACAGAGAAATTCTCCGTGATGCCTCATCCAGGTCCTCAAAATCAATACTGCAAGGACGATCCTGAGCACAGCAGGATGCATTTGGTAGAAATGGATGACCGCGGTTTCCTCTGCTTGTGTGAATCCTCCTTGTTCGAAGAGTCGATCAACATCTGGATCTTGAGGCACCAAGATTGCGGAAACAGCACTAGACCATCTTGGATCAGATGGCACAGGGTTGGCATTGACTTGGATGTAGACCGCTTTCCATTTACCACCTCGAGATCGAATCATAACGTCCAACCTGTTGTGATCGTAGGCAAAGAATTACTACTGGAATGGCCAAACAGGGGGCTATTTGGCCTGAATTTGGAGAATGGTTCAGTGAGGATATTTGACAGAAAACTTGAGTATAGAACCAATGCTTCCATGTATGCTCATACTCCTAGCTTTGTCCCTATAAGCAACTGCGAGCCCGAAATCTTGATGTCCACATAGGTAGGGGTATACCCATCTATTTAGGACTCTTCAAGTTCAATCAACTTGGTTTTCAATCGGTTGCTGAATTCACCTATTGGTACGGTCAGAAGGCCACGGTGCATCTTCCTGATTACATTCTCGCATGCTCTATGCATTTGATCAGTTCATGGTAAATCCTTTGATTGCCATTTAATACTATACTCCATTTGTCTTCTGCACCTCGATCTGATATTGCGTTTCTGTATCAAGGCTTTTTGGCCCAGTGATCTTACCGTTACCCTTTATTAATTCATGAGTTGTGTTTTTGTGGATGGTAATTCATTTTTTCTTTTAAAAAAAAAAAATCTTGTGCAAGGATAAAGAATTTGTGTGTTGAATAATGAGACGGGAGACGAATCAATTCAACCTAGTTAGTTGTAGCTTCTGGGAACGCGTTACTTTTCAAGATTCCAGTCAAAATTGGCTTTTTGGAAAGTGGGACTATGACTTTATGAGGAGAGATGACTTAGTAATTTACTTTGTAAGTAACCCTTAAAACTCGTTTGCTTTATTGGATGCTGTTGAGATTGGAATAAACAGTTTAAAACATTTTGGCAGTCTTTTCTTCTTTATTGTGACCGTCTCCTGTAAAGCTTCAGAAGCTGATTTAATCAAAAAGCAAAAGTTGGAGGGAATTTAGATAGGTTAATTGCCATAAAGTAAGGAGAAAAGGGATTTGATTGATTTGAGACATGGGAACCCTTTCTTAGCAGAAGTTGGCTATTGTCAATGGGAAACTGATGGGTTCATCTCGATTTTCCACAAAGAAAACAAAGGATGAGTACCAACAATGCATTGTAGTGGAAAAAGACCAATGGAAGCAGCAGTACATGTTTAAAAACTAATTTCCTTCCTTCCTGTGCAGTGTGAACTGTGAACTTTTCCTTTGGATTTAGGCCTGGATAATGATGATGTATCAGTACACTATCTCTTGCATCTAAGCTTTCTTCAACTACTATCAATCAATTTCCTGCCCCTTTTAGACTCCCACGCATAACGAAGCTTCCTTCGTCCCAAAGTATTTGTCGCTATTCAGGATTTTAACTTTTTAATAGTGTCATGATTGTAATGTTAGTAATTTTTTGTTTCCAACTTTATCTTCAAAAATTCAAAATTCAAATCTTAATCTAACATAAAATATATGTAAAGGTAGGGATAGTATTGAAAAAAGAGATAAAAAAACAACTTTGATTTTGATAATATGACAAACATTTCGAAGCATTCTAAAATGAAAAAGCATGATAAACATTTTGGGATACAGGTAGTAAACATCTATATCTATATAAATTACAGAAGGGTTTTCGGTTAAAAGCCATGCTAGACCTTTAAACCCTCAATTCCTTTTTTGTAGATTTTCTATTTGTCTAAATTCCTAATATGTAATGAGTTGATTTCAAAATCTTGATTGTAGACTATATTCTCATCATTTCAAAATTTAAATTATTTCCAAAATCTCAATTCCTTTTATGTAGATTTTCTTTTTATTTTAATTCCAAAAATTTAATGAGTTAATTTCAAAATCTTGATTGTAGTCTATGTTCTCATTATTTCAAAACTTAAATTATTTTCAAACTCTCAATTCCTTTTTTGTAGATTGTCTATTTATTTTAATTCCTAAAATGTAATGAATTAATTTCAAAATCTTGATTGTAGACTATATTCTAATTATTTGAAAATTTAAATTCTTCCCAAGCTCTCAATTCCTTTTTGTAGATTTATTATTTATTTTAATTCCTAAAAGGTAATGAGTTGATTTCAAAATCTTGATTGTAGACTATATATATTCTCATCATTTCTAAATTTAAATTATTTCAAATCCTAACACCTTGATGATACACATGACTTTAACATTTGAGAGAAAAAAATGAGTTTTTCGATCCACATATATTTTTGGTTATGTATTATAGTAATCTAAATTACTATTGTTTGGACAGCTGATTATTTTTTCAAATATATTTGTTTATATCATCATTACAATTTTCAATACACCTTTTAATCTTTCCTATTACCTTTTTATCTCACATACATCACATCACAAAAAGTGCTACAATAAAAATATCTCAAATAACTTACAATAAAAATTTGCTTACTCCTTTTTTCTTTATCTCCAAGATCTACTTTGTTTTCTATATTTATTATTTGTGTTTTCCGATTATGAGATTATTTAGACAAATGCTAGATTTTACATATTACATTTCTATCTCTGTACATTTTAGACCAATAGAGATATCGGGTTTCAAACCTTTCACTTACACTAAAATAAAAATATATGAAATAATAAAAATTAAAAATGAAACAACATTTTAAACTATTATGATGGAAAGCAACTTATCCAATTATTAGGCTAAAAATGACTAGTAAATTTAGTAAATGAAACAACAAATGTACTATTTTTTGATTTTGCTATGGGAAGGAAATTCAATTCCCATTCAAAATAAAAATATAAAATGTAGTCAACCAATGGTCTAATTCTGGTTGCACAAAAAATAGATAGAGCCTTTAACCATTTTTATCTAAGAAGGTTATTTGTGATAGAGAATAGTAAACAAAAAAAAAGTTTTTCACTAAAAGAAAAACTTAATTCTTATTCTTATGTCAAGTGAAATACCAATACAAGATTATAAATAGTATTTTTTCCCTTAAGAATTTTGTGGCAATCTTGAAGTTTATATATGTAATTAGTCTTGATAAATTTAGGGGATGGGAAGGGGTGGGGAGAGTTAAAAAAATAGGAATAGGTTGTGATAAATTTAATTTTTATACATTATAGTGCACTGATGACACATTTTTTTGCTATTTACTGTGCATGCTTCTATTTGTCATACTCTATATCTTGATTAAGAAGTTTACTCACCTCTATTCACCAATGTTCTATTACTTAAGTTACACATATTTAAAGCATTACATTATTGGTTTACAAATATGAGGCCAGATTGAAAATTGTAAAATCATGGACTATCGAATATTTTTACGCCAAATAAATAAACAAAAATTTTGAAATTTAAAAATTAGCTTCTTGAAATAAATTCGATATTGTATGAATTTTATGCCAAAGGTAATGGATATGATGATTAAGAAATGAAATTAACATTTTGGCAAAATACTTTTTGAATTTTCTGAATGTTGGTCATGATGGTTGAGAAATGAATCGGCATTTAGCAAACATAATTTGGTTTTAGATCTATTACAATTTGATATGACATGTTTTAAGTTTTAATACCATTTTTTCTTTTTTGTAATGCATGTTTGTACTAGGTAGACGGCAGCTAAAACTTGTTTTTTTTTTTTTTTTAAAAAAATTTTCAGCAAGGAAAAGGATGGGATGTATAAAGGTAGAAGTGGGAAGGGGTAGCTAAAAATTGTTTGACATTTCTAGGTTAAACTATTGTTTATTAAATTTTTATGTGTTACATATTCCCATAACTATATATTTATTTTTTTCATAACATTCTTTATAGCCGTGCATATTACGGGTTTTAAAACTAGTGATAAATATTTTAGGACATATCAAAAATAAAGAGCATGATAAACATTTTGGGACAGAGGACTTAATTTAATTCATGGGAAAATACCACATAGAGTACTAATATTTCGGTTGCAGGTGTGTTTGGATAGCTAAGTTTTTTAAGATAATATTTTGGGTTCATTATAAACAATTTTTTAATTCATCTTTTTATATTTTCAATCAACTTTTATTTTACATATATAACATCATAAAATATGTTACAATAATTATTTCAAATAATACTTTATCCAAACAATTGTGTCTCGTAGAGAATGTGGTCGATGACCATAATAGGGATTTACACTTTAAGTGAATAATTCTCGTCCTCTAACCCGTGAATTAACATCTGGATATTGAAACAAGATGATGATCAAGAAAATAAAAGATAACGCGTTAGAGCGAATTAGTGCCGATATAGATGTGGGCCGCTTAAAAAAAAAAGTGCCGATTTGGATGTGGGCCGCTTCATGTCCATTCAAATGGTTCCGGTAATTATTGCGCCCAAAAAATTGACGAGGTCCAAAAAAAACAAAAAAGAAAATTGATGAGGAGATAGAAGAATTAAGACTCCTAGGCTCCTCCTGGCCTATACACTTGTCCCTGTGGCGAAATAATCACTAGTCCAGCTCCGGCTGCAATTTCAAATTATCACTTGTACAAAGCTGGCTTAATGGGTAACAAGCGGAAATTCTATGCCTTATACACAATGCTATGTAATATAATCATGTGCAACCACAATAATCACACGAATTGGTGGTTTCTCCCCATTTGAAAATTTGAATATATAGGTGGATTGTGATTTTTTGCAAAAGATTTTTACATTTATCGTGAACATATTTCCTAGTGACTTTGTTACCTCAACTATCTATATCTATATGTATTGCAGAAGAGGTTTTTAGCAGAGACCCTTTCAATGGCTTCCAAATTTCTCATTCTTTTTTTTAAAAATTTTTGTATTTATTTTAATACATAAAAAGTAGTGGATTATTATCAATCCTATCACCAATCAAATTTAAAATTTAAAACATTCCCACTATCTAATTTATAAATCGTTTATAGTTTATTATTTATACTTGAAATCTTTTTTACTCCTTAATTAAAGACAAATGTTCATTCGTATGCTATTTTAATACAATGTTACATTTTTATAATTAAACAATATTTGTCACCACACTAACCCTATAACGACCCCTACAAATGAGCTTTGCAAATTATAATCACGTTTCAAAAAAATCACAAATGTGCAACTAAATGTAAAGTTGATGGGGTAAAGTGTAGTTAAATATAAAGTTAAGGGGGTTATTATATTTAACCCTAAAAAAATCCCAAGAACGGAATAAGTAGTGGGTTATAGATTTTTGTCTAGATTTTTGTATTTATTTTAATACATAAAAAGTAGTGGGTTATAATCAATCTTATCACCATTCAAATTTAAAATTTAAAACTTTCTCATAATCTACTTCACAAACCATTT